GTTACATTATGTTCTGCACAGATCACATTGAGCTAAATAAGATCAAATCTGATGACTTGTTTTTTTAAAATGAGACGTTTTCCTGTTTATCTTCTGTTAATAAATCTATAACATAAACAGCTTTTCTGACATTATTTAAAACATTAGATAGATTATATAAACTGTAAAATATTAATAATAACTGTGTTACTATTATTTTTAATAGTTTTTTTATGATTTCTACATCGTCAGTCCTTTTTTCTGCTCTGTTGTCAACATGTACAGTGATGGGAAATCCAGTCTCCCCCATTAGCGTTAGCCGTTAGCTTCACCAACCGATCACACGGTCACCTGGTTTCTAAGCATTTTAGCCGTTGGTTGTCCACAATGTTCGTGATTTTATGTAAAAACCTTCTTTGTATCATCATCTACATAAAACTCTTCTCTTGCACAGTGGCTGTTTGAGGCCTCTCTATTACTTCAGGGAGTGACAGACAGAAACAGGTCTGAGGTTACCATGGTGACTCTAATGAAACACTGACTTTTATTTTGATTCTGGTTCAGCTCGTCCATTAAAGCACAGGTGTTTTTCTTACTTTACATTATTTATTACAGAATTCAGTTGGAATTCATTCATTACTTTGAGTGTTTTACTATAAACAGCTTTGCTGTAAAAACAAATATGTAAAGAACGAAGAAAGTTCAAAGTATTAAAATATATTCAGCTGCAGGTCCCGTTCTACTGATCCTTCATTTTATTTCTTTAAAGAAACAGCAGCGGAAGGTGGGATCAGCAGACTGAAGTAACGGTGAAAACTGYGAAGCAGCTGGCTGACCAAAACAGCTCCAGTAACTGGGTTACAAGGAACGGTTTTAYAGGAACCGGGGCAAAACGTTTACAGAACAACAGCTGTGTTTGTGACAGAGCAACTGACAAATAACTGTCAGGAACTATGTCACCGACCACAACGCAAAGTTTGAAGTTTAGTTGGGCGCAAAAACCCAAACGCTGCATAACTAAAACTTATAACCGTTTGGATTTGATGATTAGAGCAACTATTTGAACCATTTAATTAGAAAAATCAGTGTTTAAGGAAAATTTAAAAAAGCTTCCAGCCTCACCTGTGTTGAAAACGTGCACGTCGATCTGCCGCAGCGTCTCGTAGTCCTCCCCGGAGCAGTAGCCCCCGAAGGAGTAAACCTTGTGGCCCACCGCCACAGCAGCATGGTTGACTCTCCGCGGCCCTCCTTCCAGGTGCACCGACCAGCGCAACATTCCCCGCGCAGGCACCTCTGAGCCTCCCCGAGTCCTTACACCATCACTGTGTCGCCCCGTCAGAGCCCATGCCGCCGGATCCTGCCGCCCAAACCAGAAGACGTGAGGCAGCGCGTCCCACCACAACAAGTGCAGAGAGAGGAAATCACAGTGGGATTGTTCTCTCGGCTGGTGCTGACAGGCTCTCCAGCCCCTGTTTCTAAGCTGGGTGAGTATTTTAAGAGGTGATTAGACCCACACCTACCAGCGCTTGTTCTTTCTGTTCACTCCTCTCTCTGCTCCCTCCCAGTGGGCCTCAAACCTCGCTTTCAGAGGAACATCAAAACTGACACCAGCACCATGAATCACATCAAAACAAGGATCAAGTCAAAGTTCATCAAAATGACCAAATCATGTTTTCAGATTCCTGCTTTAAAAGCTACGTTTTGATACTTAAACCAGCGGTTTTTAACCTTTTTGAACTCGGGGCCCAATTTATTGAACATAAAGAGGCACGAGGCCCAGTCAGACATTACTAATGTATGGATCAAAACGATAATTATTCTAAATCTTGGTTTAATTTTTACTGTATTTACATCATAACTAAACTATCATGACTAACATAACTAAATTAAATACATTTACAGTTTAAAAGTAAAACTCCTGTCAAATAATCACAAGACATAATTATGACAAACATTTTTTATATTATAACCTGCCCATAACAATTATTTAAACAAATACAATCAGTCCACAGA